TGGGGAACATTGAAACCAAGTGGGGGGAAATGTTGTCATTTGTCCCTGTCTCCCCCCGGCATGTGCATCTCTGACCAGAGCCCACCGATACAGATAGGGCGTCTTCGCTTGGTCTTCTGCAGGTGATGCGTTTCCTCCTCAAGCATCGAGGCTGACTAAGTCATTCCAAGGCTGCCTTAGAACCTGCCGGCCCGGCGTCGCAGACACACGACTGGTTTCCCCTGCCCTTGTTGCTGGGAAGGCTGGCCAGGCAAGAGAAGTGTTCTTTCGCCCAGCAGCTGTCCTTAGCAAATGCCAGCATGAAGAGATTTTTGAGTGGTGTTAGCGGCTTAGTGCTTTCATGCTGTAAAGCCGTGCAAGAATAAGAATATTGCTTCTAGCTGGTGCCCGTCCAGGTTGGGGAGGGAGTGCGCTGGGATAAAGAGTGCCAGCCGTGGGGAGAAAGGGTCAGAGCGCAGAGACATCCTTATCTCCCTCTAAAGGATTCCAGATCCTCCCCAAAGCCAAGGACAACTTATTGCCTTTTGCTGGCATTTATAAGATATTTCTGACAATGTGCTTCTGCTATATAGGACACAATTCCTAAAAAGAGGCACCGGCACGTAACCTGCACTGTCGCATTACATAATCTCGTCCAGGGAAGGCTTTCTCTATTATTTCTGAAGATAATCCGTTTTAACAATTGCAGCAATTATTCTTTTGTTCTTTTTCTCTCTCTCCATCCAGGAGCAGCATTCAGCGCCGGCTTGACGGGAGGCATTAGTACATCCGTAGCAGTATTTTGTCATGAGCTTCCCCACGAATTGGGTAACCGATTGATCAGATGCCGACTATGCATGCTTCCCTCTTTGCTTGGCAATCAAACGCAGCCGTAGTCAGTAGATGTGATTGTCCGGGTAGCCCAAAAAGACTTACAGATTAAATCTCATCACAGTCCCCGGGAGGGGAGGGGGGGCTTTAGTTGCGCCGAGGTGGCCTCGACTGGACCGGGCTCCCGTGTGTATGAAATCGTGCTGAGCCACAGTGGGAATGAAATCCACCCCTCAGGCTTTCGCACTCACGCTTGCAGGTTGCAAGAGACAGAGGTGTTTTGGGAAGGCATGAAAGGAAGGGGGGGAGGTGGTCTCACAGTGACTGTAGCAGCAGCTTGATTTGGGGGGTAGCCGTGTTGGTCTGAAGGAGCAGAACAAAGGGGCACCTTTAAGACCAACCTTTAAGACCAACCCAACGGGGCACCTTTAAGACCCAGGGGCACCTTTAAGACCAACAGAGTTTTATTCTGGGTACACGCATGCACGCACGAAACTTCATTCGTCTTAAAGGTGTCGTCTTAAAGTTGTCGCTGGACTCAAACTTTGTTCTGAAGCAGCAGTCGTTGGGAGTGCCTTCTGCCAACTGCAGATCCGATTTAAGGCTTACTTGCAGTGCTGCTCCTTCACTCGCTTGTTCCTCGCTCTGTTTCGTTCTGCTGTTGAAAGTCGGCTCCATTATATCCTATGGGGCCATTGTACTCAATGGCAAAAATCTTCTAACAATTATTCAGGGGGCTGGTGGGGAGGGGGTCTGAGATAAAGGCACCAAATTTGTACTGTAGCTGCTGGAGCCTCTCCCCAAAAGAACCCCCATGTTTGGGAAAGATTGGACTAGGGGGTCCAATTCTAGGGGCATCCAAAGAGGGTGCCCCCAACCCTCCATTGTTTCCTATGGAAGGGGATGGAAAAAAGGCAGGCAGCAGTGTCTCCCAGAGAATCTCTGCGCTAGAAAGTAAGTGAGGTGTGGTGGTGTGAGGGGGCACGTCTGCAAGGCCAGCAGCAGAACCAGTAAAATGTGCCCTCCCACCAGAACCAGTACCACTGTGGCAGTCAGTGCCCAAACCCAACAGGACTCAGGTTAAATCTGAGGATTTCTGGGGGCATGTTTGCAAGGCCAGCAGCAGAACCAGTGCAATGTGCCACACAATCTCCAACCCGGGCTCTCTCAGCAGCAGGAACAGGAATGGAGTCAGCCAGCCAGAGATCCCTGCTTTTATGCTCTCTGGGCATACACAGAAGGATTTCAAAAATGAACAAACTTCTGTGATTGGCCAAAGAGCAGTATGCCAGATCCTATTGGCCGGTGCTCCTCCCCTGGGAAAGCAGCAAGCTAGTAGCTGGTCTTCAACAAATGAAGCCAGCAACAACAACAGCCTTGCAAGCTGCAGTGGCATTTCCTAATGCATTGAAGTGACTGGCTGGCTGTACGGTCCCTCTTCCTCCTCCCTCCTGAAAAGCAGAGCAAAGGGTGGGAGACAAAAACGGCAGGAAGAAGAAGGAGCCTTTTAAAGTTTAAAGCCTCCCAGAGCCCATATTCAGTAATGCCAAAAAAGAC